CGTACCGGGTTGGGGTAGGTACCCATCAGAGCCTTGCAAAACGGGGTTCATACCGGGTGGGGGTAGGTACCCATCAGAGCCTTGCAAAACGGGGTTCGTACCGGGTGGGGGTAGGTACCCACCAGAACCTTATAAAATAAGGTTTATACCGGATGAGGGTAGGTACTCATCAGAATCTAGCAAAATGCAGATTCATACCAGGTGGGGGTAAGTACCCACAAGAGCCTTGCAGAACGGAGTTCGTACCAGGTGGGGGTAGGTACCCATCAGAGCCTTGCAGAACGGGGTTCGTACCGGGTGGGGGTAGGTACCCACCAGAACCTTATAAAATAAGGTTTATACCGGATAAGGGTAGGTACTCATCAGAATCTAGCAAAATGCAGATTCATACCAGGTGGGGGTAGGTACCCACCAGAGCCTTATAAAATAAGGTTTATATCGGATGAGGGTAGGTACTCATCAGAATCTAGCCGAAGTGCAGATTCGTACCAGGTGGGGGTAGGTACCCACCAGAGCCTTATAAAATAAGGTTTATACCGGATGAGGGTAAGTACTCATCAGAATCTAGCAAAATGCAGATTCGTACCAGGTGGGGGTAGATACCCACCAGAACCTTATAAAATAAGGTTTATACCGGATGAGGGTAGGTACTCATCAAAACCTAGCAAAATGCATCAGGTAGAGTAAAATACTCGCCTGAGCATTACAAAAACGGGTTGCAAATACCTTGCTTCTATTAGAGGATAGTTCAAGTGTTGAACACCTCGGAAGTAAGTACCCACAAGAGTTTAGCAAAATGCGAACTCATACCGGGTGAGGGTAGGTACTCACCAAAGCCTTGCAAAAACAAGGTTCATACCTAGTGGGGGTAGGTACCCACAAGAGTCTAGTGAAATACAGACTCATATCGGGTGAGGATAAGTACTCACCAGAGCCTTATAAAATAAGGCTCAAACCAGATAGGGGTTGGTACCTATCAAAAATATTTATCATCCGTAGGATCAGCAAGGAAGCATCTGAAGGATAACCGAGCAAAAGGGTTAACTTCTTCCCCTACCAGCTAATCTTGTCGGCATATTAGGCCAACAAATTAGCTAGGCAGGTGAAGGGGGGGCAGCTGTAGACCCCTAATTTTGCCCGGTCTCTCAATAAAGGCTAAAGAGACTTCCTACAACAAGATAAAGCTCGCCTGGCATCTCAATAAAGGCCAAGAAGACTTCCTATATGAAGATAAAGCTTCAACGGGCGTCTATCGGCATCAACCGACGTCCGAATAAAGAAAGGAAAGCTTCCCAGGGGTCCTAGAACACAAAAACTGGCCAAAACAGGCTGAGACCACCGTCCCAAATGTGAGACGGCCGTCCCAAGCTACCCTGGCCAAGTGGGACGGCCGTCCCAAGTGAGACTGCCAGTCCCACCTTTCAGGGGGTCCCAGCATGTGTAAAAAATTTAGTTGGGACGGCCGTCCCAACCCAGACGGCCGTCCCAACCCAGAGGGGCGTCCCAAAATGTCAGGCTGCAAAAAATTATAAATAGGAGGCTCATTTGCCACTGTTTGAAACACCAGACAACTCCCAGTACTTGTCTTTTCTCTTCCCTCTTCGAATGAACTCTCTGATTGCCTTAATAAGGTAACAATCAGTTAATGAATCATATTCCAACATTCGATTCTTCTGTAAAATTTAGTAGAGTCAGTGTTGTATTCGGAGAGGAGAGTCTTTGTAGAGTGAAGGATTGTCAAAACGCATCCTTGCGATCAAAGATTTGCAATACAAAGCTTGCTACGGAGGTTCTTTTCAATTCTCTTCTCTTTTATTACTTTATTTATTGCTTTCTGTATGCAATCATGTAGATAGCCATTCTTAAATACTGTATAAATAAAATAGGGTAATCGCGTAATTTCTTGTAATCTTCACTTAAATGAATTAATCCGTCATAGGGAACCCGAAAGGGGCGTTGTGGGGTGCTAACACCTTCCCCACACGTAACTAACTCCCTTACCTAACTCTGGTTATAATGGCCAAGTTTGGTTTTTATTAAAATCAACGCCTTTTTATCCTTTTCCAATGTTTATGGTCAAAACATTGGTGGTGACTCCAAAAGAACCCATTTTTCGAAAACCTTGCTTTTATTAGAGGATAGTTCAGTTGTTGAGCACCTCGGAAGCAATGAACATAATTTTAACAAAAAACGCGAGTCTAAACCATCTTTTCGCAACTGCTCACATAAACGTTCGAGATGTCCCCTGGACGTCGGAACGGACGGCGGCAACAGGCGTGAATCCCTATAAATAGTCACGCCATTCCCCTCATTTCACAGAGTTCTTCCATTCTCTCTCTAGTCACCTCCTCAAATTCTCTTTCTAGAGTTTCTGAGAGCTTTTTAGAGTTTTTTATAGCGTTTTCAAGAGATTCTGGCGCTGTAAAGAGTGAAGGGCTGCCAAAAAGCACCCAGATTATGAAGAAGTTAATAGAAAGCTTGCCTCAGAGGTTTCTTCACTCTCTCTCTCCTTTACCGCTTTATTTTTAAATTGTGCAATAGATATTAGGGCCATGTAGTCATAATTTTAAATTCCGCAAATAAAAGGTAAAAGCGTATTTTCACCGATTTACTTATTTAAAATAGCACACAAGAGATGAACACGTCCTTTGAATCCACAAAGCATGAAGAACAGTTTTTCCTAGAGACGGCACAACACACAATCCAACAAGAAACTCACTCAGTGATTCTTATCGCTTCTAGCCCACACTAGATTTTCAAAAGCCCCTTTTTCTGCCCTATAAAAAGTTCTCTAGCAGTCACAATTCTTAACTTTTGTATGAAAAAGGTTTGTTAATTTGCAGAGAGCCTTAGAGAACCTTAAGTAGAGAGAATAGGGTATTGGAATTGGGGATTTTCGAAAACATAAGAATTGGGAATAGGGTTTTCGAAACTTGGTCCAAATTTGAATTTCAAAACACATAATCGACGCAAATAATCTATTATCTTGAGTGATAATCGATTATTGCAGAGTCATTTTCGCAGGGGAACAAAATTGGACCAGGATAATCGATTATCTGGCCAAATAATCGATTATTTGCCTGTTATAATCGATTATCCTGGCTGATAATCGATTATCACAGAGAGGTTTTCCTGAAAATGATTTTCTTGCTGTAATAATCGATTATCCAGGGTGATAATCGATTATCACAGTGTAATTTTGATAAAAATGAGTTTTTAGAGCTTTTAGAGGATTATCTATGTGCTGGCTATCTTGGACTCTAATATTACAAACTCAAAAACATAAAAATAGAGTTATTACATAAGATTACAAGTCTTCAAATCTCTAAGTCCTTTGTTCTTGAATCATCATGAAAATCTACAAGCTTCATATCATTGTATGTTCAACACTCTCAATAAAGATCAGAAGACTTCCGCTCTGAAGGTGGGTAAAGCTTCGGTGGACATCTAACAACATCAACCGGTTTCCGTCTAAAGAAAGGAGAGCTTTTCTGAAGCAATAAAACACAAAATTTGGAGAAAACATTCGAGACAGTCGTCCCAAGTGGCTGAGACGCGTGTCCCAAGGGCCAGATGCGCGTCCCAGCTAAGTTCTCCCCTTGAGACAGTCATCCCAAGTGCCAGACGACCGTCCCAAGCAGCTGAGACAGCCATCCCACCTTTCTGAGATTGAAACGACCGTCCCAGAGTCCTGGCAATGAAAAACTATAAATAGGGGTCTCATTTACAACTTTTTGGACACACCTGACCTCTCTCTACTCTTCTACTTCTCGAATGATCTTTCCGATTGCCTATAAGGTAACAATCGATTAAGAAAATCTCTTTTGAGATATCCGACATTCGATATTCTAAAATATTTTCTTGTATTAAGGAGAGGAGAGTCCTTGTAGTGCGAGAGCAAAAAACATCCTCAGAGTTGAAGGTTTTCAATAAAAGCATGCTTCAGAAGTTCATTTCATTACTCTTCTCTTTATTGCTTTATTTATTGTTTTCTTATATGCAATAGAAAATAGGATAATGTAGATAGTCATTTTTAATATTATGTAATAAAATAGGGTAATAACGTAATTTCTCTTAATCTTTATTTTATGAATTAATCCGTCATAAGAAACCCGAAAAGAGTGTTATGGGGGTGCTAATATCTTCCTCAAACGTAACTCCCTTATCTAACTCTGGTTATGATGACCAAGTTTTGTTTTTCTTAAAATCAACACATTTTTATCCTTTTCTAATGTTTATGATAAAAATATTGGTAACAACTCCTTAAAACCCTTTTTACAAAAACCTTGCTTTATTAAAAGTTAGTTCAGTTATTGAACATCTCAGAAGCAGTGATCATATTCTTTACAAAAATATAAGTCTAAATCATCATATCCCAACCGCTCGCATAAACGTTCAAGATGTCCGAAGACGTCGGAACAAACGGCGCCAACAATTATTAATGATTAAGTAACCAAAAGAAGATGAATTTTGTGAAAAATAAGATCATGCAGGACACATTCCTATAAACGAGGGGCCGTAAAAAGTGAATAATTTCTCAATATAAAAATATATATAGCCCTATATTATATATATATATATATATATATATATATATATATATATATATATATATATATATATATATGTGTGTGTGTGTGTGTGTGTGTGTTTTCTTCTTTTTTTTATAAGTGATACCACTAGTTATTATTTACAAAACGAAATAAAACAGAATAGAATTTCTTTGATGCCAATATTGAATCTTTCAATAAGAAACCAAAGAACTATAAGAAGCTGAACCTCTCAGCATTACAGAAATATTTTCTGTACAAACTAATAAATCTATTCAAATATGCCAAGAAAAGCATCCACGGAAAGTGGAAAGTAATTAACTTTCATGACCGACCTGTATACACAACTCATACTAAAATCCGGAAACACAGGACCTATATCTAGACCAACGTTACGTATAGCCAAGGGTGAAGAAATGCAAGGGATTAAAGAAATTTGGAATGTGAGTATTAAGCCCTAGAATAGCGTGAACCTCCTTTCTTCTTTAGGAATTCAGGTATCTCAAACAAACCACCATCAGTGAAAGAGGAAGATCGACGATTGATGCCAAAGCTAGTGTCTGCCTGAGTGAGTTGAGTTGCCTGTAATCGGAAGAAAACCAGAATTACATGCATGCATTACAGGAACACGGGTGGAGGGAACAGTTGATTCATACCTGCAGGGGCCTCCCTTCACTCTCCTCTTGACGCTTGAATCCAGTTGCAATCAATGTTATACTCACCTGTATGAAAACAAAATTCATGGTTCAACACAATGATCATATTAAACCATATTTTAGAAATGCTAGTTTGAAGAGCATTCAACCCCAAATATCAGCAACATAAACAATCACTGGACAAGTTCACCATACATAAAGAAAGATTACGACCATTAGCTTGTGTTAAGAAATGAGCATCTATGTTGCAGAATCTGACTTCAAAAGAAAGGATCTAAAATCCAGCATAATAACTGATATTTACGTATTGTAAAGTTAAAGTTTTACATACACATACAGTAGAAGCAAATAATTATCATGAGTATGTTAGAAATAACTAAATATATGAGCTAAAGCTTAAATCCTAGCATGTGCCTTCTTGGTAAACTCACTATCCATTGGCACCAAAATCTTCCAGAAATCGTGTTTTATTTTGATTCTTAGTTTTTTTCTTTTTGGTGCAGCATTGTTCCGATGTTTTTTGCCATCAGCTACTGTCACCACCGCCATCCATTACCATAGTTGCGCCATTCAGACCGACGACCATACCATCGGAGTTATGCTGACCAGATGATTCCAATGTTGCCGGAATCCCGGCCATCAGAGCTCTAACGCACCTCCATGCACGAAATCTCTCTACATGCACTCTCTCGTTCTGTTTGCCTGTTCTCGCCACCACTAGACCCACCTCGCCCTCCTCTTCTCCGATGCGGTCACAATGTCGTGTTTGGAGCGCATTTACTACATCATCCCTTTGTTAGGTCCTTGTTTCTCTCTCCTATAATTGTTTTCACTCTCCTGTTGCTGTATTTTTTTCTCGTCTAGGGTTCATGACCTCTTCAACTACTGTTAGGCTTTATCCTCCTATTTTCACTAATTATATCAATGTGCCTCTCCCTCCATTGACAAGTTCAATGAAAATAATTATGATGCATGGACCTCTAACATATTAAGCTTTGGTTGAGAGGACAAGATTATGATGATCATCTTACCCAAACAACGACATCCATTGATGAAAAAGATTGGTCTTTGTTGATCTAAAATTGATGCTCAAGTTTTCAACATTCTGAAGTCCACCATGTATCCCACCTCAAAGCAAATATTTTGTGCTCATGAAACATGAACAGGTCCAATTATTATACACCAATGATACTAAACATCTCTATGGAGTGTGTCAAAATTTCTTGAGTAACATTGCCTCCTACCACCTCAATTTCTCTATGCCTGAGTATTTAGGCAAAGTTCATGACCTTCTACATGACTTCATTAAACTATTATCCCCTACTGCTACTCTTACTATGAAACTAGAACAACGACAAACATTCTTTATGTTCATGGCACTCTATAGGCTTCCAGACAAGTATTCATCCATTTGTGATCAGATTTTGAGATCACTTGTGCCTACTTTGAATTATGTCTAGTTTACCTTGTAGTGGTCGCCCTCCTCAGTGTGTTGTTGTTGCCTAAGCTGTTCCATATCCACCCACTAATACTAGTCCCACTTCATCTAATAGTTATGGTTAGCTTACTATCCTTCATGACTTCCTAAAATGATATAAGGAACGATAAACCTCTAGTTTCACTGCTTCTATTGCGCACACAAGTATTTCATTTGTTGGTCTATCTCATTTCACCTCACTTGGTCGCAGAGTACTTGACTCTGGTGCTATTGATCATATTTTTGGTAATAAATCTTTCTTACCATTTGTCATCATGGATAATGACTCTTTGACCCCTTCTCATGGTATTGGTACTATTTATCTTCTGCTTTCTTTTTCTATTGAAAATATTCTTTATGTATTTAGTTCTCCTTATAATTTATTATCCTTAGTCTCACTCGTTATTTTGATTGTGTCATCTTTGTTGAAAGTCCCACATCGCCTACCTCATATCATTTGGTATGGTTTAAATACATGTTAGGCTACTCCACATATTGTCAATTGGTTTTATGTTGGAACCTTAACATGGTATCAAGAGCTTAAGGTCTCTTGGGATTTTTTTTCGGCTCTGCCACTGAACCTGCAGTTGTCGCCGCCTCCATTGCCGCCGCCGTCGCCACCGCCGTTCGCCGCCGCCGCCGCCGCCGCCAGAGTAGCAGTTCGGACCGCCGAGCACAGGGTTTTGCTCGCCTCCTCCGTGCGACCTCCACCGTGGAAGTTTCGCGGTCATCAGAGCAGCCACGCTCCCTCACGCGCCTCCTGAAGCCGCGCCACCTTCTCCCGTTCCGCCGCGCGTGGCGGCGCGTCTCGCCGCCGTTTAGGCTGCCGATCTTTGCGCCGGCGTCGCCTCCTTCTCCTCTCTCTGGATCTGTCCTCGCTGCTCCAATCGGACCTCTTTGGTGTTTTAGGATTTTTCTCTCTCTTCCTCCATGGCATCTTCCGCTGCCACTTCCAATTCTGAAGTTACCTCTGTCAGCTCCGGTGGGTCCGAGCAATCTGTTTTTACTAATTATGTCAATGTGAATTTACCCATTGATAAATTAGATGGTACGAATTATGCAACTTGGGCATCCGATATTAGACTTTGGCTTGAGAGTCAGGGGTATGTTGATCATCTTACTACCAAGGTAGATGATGTTCCTTCCAATGATCGTGTCCGTTGGAAGAAAGTTGATGCTCATATATGTATGGTTCTCAAGAATACCATCCAATCTTTTTTAAAACAAATTTTTCGATCGTATGACACATGTTATGACGTTTGGGAACAAGCCAAATTATTATACACCAATGACACTCAACTTCTTTATGGTGTTTGTTACAATCTTCTTGATGTTATTGCTCCTCGAGATAAGGATCCTGTGGCGGATTATGTGGGTAAGATCCATGCTCTTCTCCATGAATTTAATGAGTTATTACCCCCTGCCTCGACTCCTGCCCAAGAATTAGAGCAACGATCAAAGTTTTTCATGGTTTTGATGTTACACGGACTTGCTGATAAATATGCCCCTGTTCGTGACCAGATTTTGGGTTCCCTGTTACACCCAGTTTTACCGCTACCAGTTCCTCCCTTTTGCGGGTGCCATGTAAACCTCTCAATATTCCCCCTGTAGTTTCTAATGATTCATCTGCCTTGGCCTCTCACCGTGATGATCGTAATCGCTCTCACAAGCCAGGCAAAGGGCGTGTCAAGTGTGACCATTGTGGCAAACTAGGCCACAAAATTAACAAATGTTATGCTTTACATGGTTATCCTCGCCGATCTGCTGCATTTGCTCGGATCGATTCTTCCGCACAATCCTCTCGTCGTGGATCCTCCTTCGTCTGTACCTTCGAGACAAATCGCTATCTTCAATGATTTTCTTCAATGGTATGAGGATCGAAAGCCCTCCAGCTTCCACTACTTCGTTGCCCACACAGGTACATCTTTTGCTCGGTCCGACTCACTCTTCTTCTATTGGCCCTTGGGTTCTTGACTCAGGCGCCACCGATCACATCACTCGGTAACAAATCCTTATTTTCCTCTTTCACTTCTCATAATTTACCCTCTCGTTACAATGGCTAATGGGTCTACAACTTTAGCTCATGGTGTTGGAACGGTTACTCGTTTTCCCTCGTTGTCCATTGATAATGTTTTGTATGTACCCGGTCCCCCTTTAACTTATTATCCATTAGCCGTCTAACTCGATCTCTTGATTGTGTTATCTCTTTTACCAAAACTTCGTTTTCCTACAGGACCGGAGCTCGCAAAGAGTGATTGGCACCGGATGTGAGTCACATGGACTTTATTATCTTCAACCTTCTCCACATGTTGGCACGGTTATGGAGTCTCCTTCTCTCCTTCATGCTCGGCTTGGTCACCCCAGTCTGCGCAAATTACGAGCAACTTGTTCCCAGCTTATCCCGAGTTGTCCAATTTGGTGTGTGAGTCCCGTCAGTTAGGCAAACATAGTCGTACTTCCTTTTCTCGTAGTGTTTCCCAGCGTGCTTCATCCCCCTTTGCCTTAGTTCACTCGACATTTGGGGACCCGATCGTGTTAAGTCTAATTTAGGTTTTCAATATTTTGTTACTTTTATTGATGATTTCTCTCGTTGTACTTGGTTATTTTTAATGAAAAATCGTTCGAGTTGTTTTCTATATTCCAAAACTTTTATCATGAAATTAAAAATCAATTTGGTGTCTCTATTCAAACTTTTCGAAGTGATAATGGCCGTGAATATCTTTCAAACTCGTTTAAACAATTTATGGCTTCTCATGGCATTCTTCATCAAACTTCCTGTGCTTATACCCCTCAACAAAATGGGGTGGTCGAGCGCAAGAATAGACACCTTATTGAAACAACCCGTACTCTTTTAATTCATGGTGAGGTTCCTCAACATTTTTGGGGTGATGCTGTTCTTACTGCCTGTTATCTTATTAATCGTATGTCCTCTTCGGTTTTAGATAACAAAATTCCCCATTCTATTTTATTTCCTCATGACACTCTCCATCCTTTACCTCTGAAGGTTTTTGGGTCTACCTGTTTTGTCCACAATTTTGATCCTGGTCATGATAAGTTATCTCCTCGATCACACAAATGTGTTTTCTTAGGATTTACTCGATCCCAAAAAGGATACAAGTGTTTTTCTCCTTCTCTTAATCGCTATTTTGTGTCTCGCCGATGTCACCTTCAATGAGTTTTCCTTTTACTTTAAGGACCCTTCCCTACCTGCTGAGTCTCCATCTCGCTACAGTTCTCATTCCTGTTCTCATTGATCCTTATGTTGAGGACCATCCACCATTAGCCCCTCCTCCTCCACCACCCCTTCGGGTTTATAGTCGCAGACCTCGCCCACAACAGACGCCACATGACTCACTCCCAGTGCCAAATACTCGCCTCCTCCGGCTTCGTCCACGAGTCTGACCTTCCTATTGCCCTTCGTAAAGGTACGCGTTCTACTCGTAATCCTTCTCCACATTATACTTGCTTTAAGTTATCATCGAATTTCTTCACCATTTTATACCTGTCTCTCGTCTATTTCTTCTGTGTCTATTCCTAAATCATCTCTCGAAGCCTTAGCCCACCCTGGTTGGCGTCGAGGCCATGCTAGATGAACTCGGTGCTCTTCGGACTAGTGGAACCCGGACGTTTGTCTCATTACCATCCGAAAAATCTGTTGTTGGTTGCAGGTGGGTCTTCGCTATCAAGGTTGGTCCTGATGGTACTATTGATCGCCTCAAAGCTCGCCTTGTAGCCAAAGGCTATACCCAAATTTTTGGGTTGGATTATGGTGATACTTTCTCTCCAGTGGCAAAGATGGCTTTTGTTCGTTTATTCATTGCCATGGCTGCTATTCAACAATGGCCTCTTTATCAACTGGATGTCAAAAATGCTTTCTTGAATGGCGATTTGCAAGAAGAGATTTATATGGAGCAACCTCCTGGATTTGTTGCTCAGGGGGAGTCTTCTGGATTGGTATGTCGTCTTCGCAAATCTTTATATGGCCTAAAACAGTCTCCTAGGGCCTGGTTTGGAAAATTTAGCAGCGTTGTTCAACAATTTGGCATGACTAGAAGTGAGGCAGACCACTCAGTCTTTTACCGTCACTCGAATGCTGGATGTATCTATTTGATAGTATATGTCGATGACATTGTTCTTACAGGTAGTGACCATCATGGCATCTCTCAGATGAAACAACACCTTTACCACCATTTTCAAACCAAAGATCTTGGCAAACTCAGATATTCCTTGCGTATTGAGGTAGCACAATCTACCGATGGCATTGTTATATCTCAAAGAAAGTATGCATTGGATATTTTGGAGGAAACTGGGTTGATGAATTCAAAGCCTGTTGACACACCCATGGATCCTAATACCAAACTCTTGCCAAATCAGGGGGAGCCAATGTCAGATCCTGAAAAGTATAGAAGATTAGTTGGAAAATTAAATTATCTTACAGTTACTCGCCCTGACATTTCCTTTGCAGTCGGTGTGGTGAGTCAATTCCTCAATTCTCCTTGTCAAGATCATTGGAATGCGATCATCCGTATATTGAAGTACATCAAAAAGTCTCCTGGAAAAGGTTTGGTGTATGACTCCCATAATCATACAAGAGTTGTCTGTTATTCGGATGCTTGATTGGGCAGGATCTCCTCTCGATAGAAGATCTACATCCGGGTATTGTGTTTCCATTGGTGGTAACTTGATCTCATGGAAAAGTAAGAAACAAAGTGTTGTGGCAAGATCCAGTGCGAAGCGAGTATAGAGTTATGGCCTCGGCTACCTGTGAACTTATTTGGCTCAAGCAATTGCTTAAAGAGCTACAATTTGGAGATGTCACTCAAATGACACTAGTGTGTGACAATCGAGCTGCTCTCCATATAATCTCTAATCCTCGTCTTTCATGAGAGGACTAAACACATTGAGATTGACTCGCCATTTTATTCGGGAAAAGATTATGTCTGGAGACATCAAAACCGAGTTCGTTAACTCATGTGATCAATTAACGAGATATTTTCACTAAGTCTTTACGGGGACCTAGGATGGATTATCTTTGTACCAAGCTAGGCACATACGATTTGTATGCTCCAGCTTGAGGGGGAGTGTTAGATATGATTAGATATTAGTTGATATTGTTTGATATTGTTGAGATATTGTTAGATATTGTTAATCACAATATCAAATAATATCTTTTTATTTACCCTATTTGTATTTTGTTACTCTTTTGAGGAGTACCTTTCTTTATTATAAATACACTGCCCTATGTGTGGTAAATACATAAGGGAAATTAACCCTATACAGTTTTTCCCTATATTCAACAATTTTTTTACTAAAGATTTTGTTTTATTACAAGATCAAAGTTCAGGACGAATGATTGGCATTTGATTTGAGTGTCATGTTCTCCATTACCATCTTCGGATGTTTGCTTATGGTGGCTCAAAGATAAATTCTCCTCTCTCATTTGTGCCCAATTAAGTCATCAAACCCTTGCCAAGCTGCAAGAACATGTCCAGCATCTACTTAAGTTGTCTACTTTGTCTTATGAGTCGTGTCAATTTGGTAAACATAGTCGTAGTTCCTTTCCGTAGAGTACTTCCGATAGAGTTTTGTCTCCTTTTACAATGTTCATTCTAATGTTTGGAGAATAATTAGTATTAAGTCCACTTTGTCATCTTTATTGATGATTATTCCCGATGTACTTGATTATCTTTTCAGGGAGTATTATTCAGATTTCGTGGTCAACAATATGAAAGTAGGACATTTTCCTATTTCCTTTGAGGACTGAATATTTGTTGTCAATTGTATTGGGTAATTTTATTCAAAGCTAATGCTCATTCACATAATGAAATTAAAACAACGAAAGGATTATACTAATATTCAGAAATTCAAATTGATTACTAAGTAGTCTCTCTATAGACTTAAAAGGACAACTACCAAAAAAAAACATTTTTTAATCAGCTATGAATTATTTATGGTTAGTACCCGACCAATTCCATAATACTAATTTTTTTGTCCAGGAACAATGTTGTATATTTGCTTCTAATAATACCCATTACACAGGAGTGGATATGTAGAGCAATTCATTTCTGTGGAATCACTGCGTATCATTGACACTTCACATGAATAATGTTACAGCAAAGTTTAACTTACTTGGCCAGTGAGTGATGGATCTATTACTGCTCCAAATATTAAATTAGCAGTAGGGTCCACAAGGTCATATATAACCTCTGCTGCCGCATTTACCTGTAAATGATTAAATTAAGAGTCATAACATACAAAAGGGTATATCATACATAGCATAGCAGCCTTAAAGAGCATGATGAATTGAATAGATAGCATATCATGAAGGCCAAGTATTCCTCAAATAAGTATTAGCTTAATGGAAAAGAAAAATTATGCAATTATAGTAACAATATAGGTGGATTGTCTATAAGCACATACGATTTTTCTCTCTCAACTAAATATCATGTCCATGGGAAACTGATATATCACCGTATAAATTATGCAACACAACATGCCAATGAATTTGTCTTGTGTCAGGAAGAACATTTTGAGTATCATGAAGCTCCAAGTAACTCCCTTAGTCGTTAAATGATACAAATTCCAAAGGAGCAAAGGACAAAAGTATGCCAACAATAACCAAAATAATAATAAATAGAAGGAGGGCAGGGGGATTATGATTTATAGGTACAACGGAAACATATATTAAGAGCCAAAGGGGTATCCACCTCAAACAAGGTCAGATCAGTCCCCCCAGTTATGTTCCAAACAATTCCAGTAGCCCTCTCGATACCAATATCCAGTAAAGGTGACTGGATAGCATTTAACGCAGCATCTCTTGCCCTTGATTTTCCTTAAAAACAAAAGAAGCCACATAATAAATTTCAATAATTTAAAACCCTTCTATCCCAAAATGTTTTCTTAAATAAATAATAAAATGTCGAAAACAAGGGTAAAAAGATTCATGTATATCACTTTTCTAAATAAAACTCATAAAATATAAGGAAAATATTTAAAATAAAATACTCTTAGACACTAAAGTCACCTTTACAAGTTCATAATAATAAAACTTCAAAACAACTTCTCAAACAAAATTAAAATAAATATATAATTTATCTATCCCAATTTCTCACTTAAGCAAAGCATCAGCACAAAATAGAGATAAAGGAAGCATAAGTTTTGTCACCCCTCTCTTCCTCCATATTAAAAGTTCACATGTAAAGGTATTTAATACAAACAAACAACAAAAATAGAAGAGTGAGATATATATCTCACACATATTATAAACACATAAAAAGTCGGTAAAATTAAAAATGTACAAATGTCACTTTACCAACACATACTCGATCATAAACTCACTCCATTAAATCAAATACATTAATGCTCTTATCCCTGTATGTATGTATTACCACTCAATGCACTCGCATATGAAGTGATCTAGAAGTTCATGAATCAAATCACAAAGACCCTCTTAATCAACTCTTAACTAAAACAAGTCTAGCAAGAGCCTGTCGAGATAATATAGTTGGTCATGGTTGTCCCTCATCCCACTCATAGACTAGAGTTTCCTTGTTCCAAAATCCCTCAAGACCAAGGTAGAAGAGTATAGAGACTCTCCTCTGTATATCGCATTCACCCCAAAAAAGTATGAATGAATGAAGCATTTTAGGTTTATACTCTCTTAAAAATTATTTTCTTAGGTATATATAAAAAAATAGTTATTATTAGAATAAGTCTTAAATAAACTTTATTAAAAAGTAGTTTTAGTGCTCTACCTAGGATTAATGTAGTACCTAGGAACTAGATGTGTCTTTTCATATTCCCTTCTTCTTCTCTCTCTCATTTATTGTATTTGAACTACCATTCTTATTATAAATATGAGAACCTAAGGGAAATCAAGCCTCAAATATGTTTTTTCAATTGTATAGAACGTGTTGATCCCACTCTACGTGTCTCTATCTTGTCCTGTGTGAAAAACGTCATCTGGTCAATATTTGTCATCGTGTACCATCGTCTTGCACCATCAATCACCGCCATTCGACTCGCCAGCTCCTTCTGGACATGTTTTTGTCCTTGATTCACCATTTTAACACTATTTGACATTGTTATGCACTATTTTGATACTATTTAGTGTCGTTTTGGTATTGTTTGGCACAATTTGATACTATTTTCTTATACTATTAGGATCTCTCCCTCTTACAACTCTATTTTATCTTCACAAGACTATTTTCCTCTGTCCTTAGCTCTATCCTATTCAACAATCTACTATAACTTCTTAGAAACTAAATGTAAAAAACTACCTATCTTGATCTGCTTTTTTTGAACTTTGATTCCTTGGCCAAGATTTCTATGATCATTTAAAATAAGACAGAGGTCAAGTACCTTCATACCAAGTTCAATAGTAGAAGATTGATTTTCAACTTTGTGCTATATCGTGGCAATAAGTGGAGCCCAACATTTTGAGCACTATTACATTCAAGACCTGTAATTCATTTTGGAAAAAGTATCAAAATCTCTTTGCAAATGATATCCAATGTTTCATGATTCTACTAATCAATTGGCTTCTCTCAAGCAAACTAATAATGACAAATGAAGTTCAATTAGTAGTTGAAGAAGTGAAGATGTTCTTAGAAGTTGATTCGGTATAAGAGATCATAAAGAAGTTAGATAAGTTTTATATGATTATGATCCTTCGTGTTATGAATTTAGAATGTGATCATGCTAGTGACCAAATTTAAATTGATCAAGAAGTTCCTTCTATAGAAAGCTTTACAACATGTTGAATATAGGGTTAATTTCCCTTATGTATTTACCACACATAGGGCAGTGTATTTATAATAAAGAAAGGTACTCCTCAAAAGAGTAACAGAATACAAATAGGGTAAATAAAAAAATATTATTTGATATTGTGATTAACAATATCTAACAATATCTCAACAATATCAAACAATATCAACTAATATCTAATCATATCTAACACTCCCCCTCAAGCTGGAGCATACAAATCGTATGTGCCTAGCTTGGTACAAACATAATCCATCCTAGGTCCCCGTAAAGACTTAGTGAAAATATCTGCTAATTGATCACATGAGTTAACGAACTCAGTCTTGATGTCTCCAGACATAATCTTTTCCGAATAAAATGGCGAGTCAATCTCAATGTGTTTAGTCCTCTCATGAAAGACAGGATTAGAGCTTATATGGAGAGCAGCTCGATTGTCACACACTAGTGTCATTTGAGTGACATCTCCAAATTGTAGCTCTTTAAGCAATTGCTTGAGCCAAATAAGTTCACAGGTAGCCGAGGTCATAGCTCTATACTCGCTTCTGCACTGGATCTTGCCACAACACTTTGTTTCTTACTTTTCCATGAGATCAAGTTACCACCAATGGAAACACAATACCCGGATGTAGATCTTCTATCGAAGGAGATCCTGCCCAATCAGCATCCGAATAGCAGACAACTCTTGTATGATTATGGGAGTCATACACCAAACCTTTTCCAGGAGACTTTTTTATGTACTTCAATATACGGATGACTCGCATTCCAATGATCTTGACAAGGAGAATTGAGGAATTGACTCACCACACCGACTCGCAAAGGAAATGTCGGGCGAGTAATTGTAAGATAATTTAATTTTCCAACTAATCTTCTATACTTGTTTAGGATCCGACATTGGCTCCCCCGATTTGGCAAGAGTTTGGTATTAGGATCCATGGGTGTGTCAACAGGCTTTGAATTCATCAACCCAGTTTCCTCCAAAATATCCAATGCATACTTTCTTTGAGATATAACAATGCCATCGGTAGATTGTGCTACCTCAATACCCAAGAAATATCCGAGTTTGCCAAGATCTTTGGTTTGAAAATGGTGGCAAAGGTGTTGTTTCATCCGAGAGATGCCATGATGGTCACTACCTGTAAGAACAATGTCATCGACATACACTATCAAATAGATACATCCAACGATTCGAGTGACAAGTAAAAGACCGAGTGGTCTCGCCTCACTTCTAGTCATGCCAAATTGTTGAACAACGTCTGCTAAATTTTCCAAACCAGGCCCTAGGAGACTGTTTTAGGCCATATAAAGATTTGCGAAGACGACATACCAATCCAGAAGACTCCCCCGAGCAACAAATCCAGGAGGTTGCTCCATATAAATCTCTTCTTGCAAATCGCCATTCAAGAAAGCATTTTTGACATCCGAGTTGATAAAGAGGTCATTGTTGAATAGCGACCATGGCAATGAATAAACGAACGAAGTCATCTTTGCCACTCGGAGAGAAAGTATCACCATAATCCAACCCAAAAATTTGGGTATAGCCTTTGGCTACAAGGCGAGCTTTGAGGCGATCAATAGTACCATCAGGACCAACCTTGATAGCGAAGACCCACCTGCAACCAACAACAGATTTTCCGGATGGTAATGGGACAAGCGTCCAGGTTCCACTAGTCCGAAGAGCACCGAGTTCATCTAGCATGGCCTGACGCCAACCAGGGTGGGCTAAGGCTTCGAGACAGATTTAGGAATAGACACGAAGAAATAGACGAGAGACAGGTATAAAATGGTGAAGAAATTCGATGATAACTTAAAGCAGTATAATGTGAAGAAGGATTACAAGTAGAACACGTACCTTTACGAAGGGCAATAGGAAGGTCGGACTCGTGGACGGAATCGGAGGAGGCGAGTATTTGGCACTCGGGAGTGAGTCATGTGGCGTTTGTTGTGGGCGAGGTCTGCGACTATAAACCCGAAGGGGTGGTGGAGGAGGAGGGGCTAATGGTGGATGGTCCTCACCATAAGGATCAATGAGAACAAGAATAGGAACTGTAGCGAGATGGAGACTCAGCGGGTAGGGAAGGGTCCTTAAAGTAAAAGGAAAACTCATTGAAGGTGACATCGTGCAGACACAAAATAGCGATTAAGAGAAGGAGAAAAACACTTGTATCCTTTTTGGGATCGAGTGAATCCTAAGAAAACACATTTGTGTGATCGAGGAGATAACTTATCATGACCAGGATCAAAATTGTGGACAAAACAAGTAGACCCAAAAACCTTCGGAGGTAAAGGATGGAGAGTGTCATGAGGAAATAAAATAGAATGGGGAATTTTGTTATCTAAAACCGAAGAGGGCATACGATTAATAAGATAACGAGCAAGAAGAACGACATCACCCCAAAAATGTTGAGGAACCTCACCATGAATTAAAAGAGTACGGGTTGTTTCAATAAGGTGTCTATTATTGCGCTCGACCACCCCATTTTGTTGAGGGGTATAAGCACAGGAAGTTTGATGAAGAATGCCATGAGAAGCCATAAATTGTTTAAACGAGTTTGAAAGATATTCACGGCCATTATCACTTCGAAAAGTTTGAATAGAGACACCAAATTGATTTTTAATTTCATGATAAAAGTTTTGGAATATAGAAAACAACTTCGAACGATTTTTCATTAAAAATAACCAAGTACAACGAGAGAAATCATCAATAAAAGTAACAAAATATTGAAAACCTAAATTAGACTTAACACGACCTGGGTCCCCAAATGTCGAGTGAACTAAGGCAAAGGGGGATGAAGCACGCTGGGAAACACTACGAGAAAAGGAAGTACGACTATGTTTGCCTAACCGACAGGACTCACACACCAAATTGGACAACTCGGATAAGCTCGGGAACAAGTTGCCGTAATTTGCGCAGACCGGGGTGACCAAGCTGAGCATGAAGGAGAGAAGGAGACTCCATAACTCGTGCCAACATGTGGAGAAGGTTGAAGATAATAAAGTCCATGTGACTCACATCCGGTGTCAATCACTCTTTGCGAGCTCCGGTCCCGTAGGGAAACGAAGTTTTGGTAAAAGAGATAACACAATCAAGAGATCGAGTTAGACGGCTAATGGATAATAAGTTAAAGGGGGACCCGGTACATACAAAACATTATCAATGGACAACGAGGGAAAAAGAGTAACCGTTCAAACACCATGAGCTAAAGTTGTAGACCCATTAGCCATTGTAACAGAGGGTAAATTATGAGAAGAAGTGAAAGAGGAAAATAAGGATTTGTTACCGAGTGATGTGATCGGTGGCGCCTGAGTCAAGAACCCAAGGGCCAATAGAAGAAGAGTCGGACCAGACAAAAGATGTACCTGTGTGGGCAACTGAAGTAGTGGAAGCTGGAGGGCTTTCGATCCTCATACCATTGAAGAAAATCATTGAAGATAGCATATTTGTCCGAAGGTACAGACGAAGGAGGATCCACGACAGAGGATTGTGCGGAAGAATCGGTCCGAGCAAGCTGCAGCAGATCGGCGAGGATAACCATGTAAAGCATAACATTTGTCAATTTTGTGGCCTAGTTTGCCACAATGGTCACACATGACATGCCCTTTGCCTGGCTTGTGAGAGCGATTACGATCATCACGGTGAGAGGCCAAGGCGGATGAATCATTAGAAACTACGGGGGAATATTGAGAGGTTTACATGGCACCCGCAAAAGGGAGGAACTGGTAGCGGTAAAGCCGGGTGTAACAGGGGAACCCAAAATCCGGTCACGAACAGGGGCATATTTATCGAGTAAGTCCGTGTAACATCAAAACCATGAAAAACTTTGATCGTTGCTCTAATTCTTGGGCAGGAGTCGAGGCGGGGGTAATAACTCATTAAATTCATGGAGAAGAGCATGGATCTTACCCACATAATCCGCCACAGGATCCTTATCTCGAGGAGCAATAACATCAAGGAGATTGTAACAAACACCATAAAGACGTTGAGTGTCATTGGTGTATAATAATTTGGCTTGTTCCCAAACGTCATAACATGTGCCATACGATCGAAAAATTTGTTTTAAAGAAGATTGGATGGTATTCTTGAGAACCATACATATATGAGCATCAACTTTCTTCCAACGGACACGATCATTGGAAGGAACATCATCTACCTTGGTAGTAAGATGATCAACATACCCCCGACTCTCAAGCCAAAGTCTAATATCGGATGCCCAAGTTGCATAATTCGTACCATCTAATTTATCAATGGGTAAATT